TTCTGTGTAATCTTGCCTCCTCTTCTTAATCTCTTCTGCCTCTGTTAGGTCCCTGCGCTTTTGGTGGTTTATCATGCCCATCTTTGAATGAAACGTTCCCATCATATCTCCAATTTTCTTGAAGTGTTCGCTGGTCCTCCCTATTCTATTATTTTCTTCTATTTCTTTGCACTGTTCATTTAAGAAGGCATGCTGATCTCTTCTAGCTATGCTCTGGAATTCTTCATTCAATTGGGTGTATCTTTCCCTTTCTCCCTTGCCTTTCGCTTCCCTTCTTTCCTCAGCTCTTTGTAAAGCTTCCTCAGAAAGCCATTTTGCTTTCTTGCATTTCTTTTTCTTTGGGATGGCTTTACTTGCTGCCTCTTGTACAATGTTGCGAACCTCCGTCCACAGTTCTTCACGCACTCAGTCTATCAGATCTAATTCCTTAAATCTATTTGTCACCTCTACTGTATATTCATCAGGGATATGATTTAGGTCATACCTGAGTGGCCTAGTGCTTTTCCCTACTTTCTTCAATTTAAGCAAATTTTGCAACCAGAAGCTCATGATCTGAGCCACAGGCAGCTCCTGGTCTAGTTTTTACTGACTGTATAGAGCTTCTCCATCTTTGGCTGCAGAGCACAGTCAATCTGATTTCTGTGCTGACCGTCTGGTGATGTCCATGTGCAGAGTCGTCTCTTGGGTTGTTGGAAAAGTGTTTGCTATGACCATCGTATTCTCTTGACAATATTCTTCCAGCCTGTGCCCTGCTTCATTTTGTACTCCAAGGCCAAACTTGAACCGTATGCCACCAAGAGATACCAATACCCTGCTCTTGTAATTCTTGATTCAGTTTCCGTCTTCCATCATTATCCAAAATATCATCATATCTCACAATCCTATCAAAATTCAATGCATTTGCATATACAAGAGCTTCCATAGGAGAAAGCCATCTTGGCAACTTAGTATACAGCTTTGTCTTTAATTTTTCCCACACTGACAATGACTTTCTAATGTAATGATTTAAGAAACAACCATGTGTCTTACACTTCTCATACCACATATAATAAGCACGCCAACCCATTTGTAGATCATGCCCTCCAAGATAAAGGATTCTCTTATTTCTTAAGGTTATCCATTCTTTTAACCACATTAGGACAGAAGCTTGATAATACAACATCCAGTCAGGAAGGCCAAAGCCCCCATTCCCTTTGGCCTCCTGCAGCATTTTTACTTTAATCCTTGGTTTCTTCTTTTGCCATACGAATCTCAGAGTTTGGGTGTTTAGGTCGTCAAATTTTTTTTATCAATTTTATGGGAATTCATATAGGGTACTATTCTTTGTTGCAACGCCCTGAGCATCGCTTTGCATGCATGAGAAGTCAGCGCAGTGGTCCTGTGGTCATTGCCCTCTGTCGCATCTCCCTTCTTGGGCATTAGAATCTGTTAGAACATTTCCAGTCTGTGGACCATTGTTTTGCTTTCCACATTTGGTGGCATAGTCTTATTTCTTGTAAAAAATAAAAAACGGGGAAAAAAGCAAAAGCCTCAAAAGAGAAAGTTACCAAGGTACCATGCTCCAAAATTGCTCGTAAAACCAGATGCAGGAGGTTCCACAAGGAATCAGCAATAGACAGTGTTTCATCTACACCTATAACTGCAATTGCATGATAACATATAGTTATAGCTAATACTTGATTAGATTAGTAAAACTAATAATTTCACAAAGAAAAGTGCTTTGACAATGAGTAATCTATGATTCATCCCAGAGTATATCTAGAAACCAAATTAGAATTAATGATAGTTTCTTTTCCTGGTTGGACTTTGCCTTAGAGCCCATTACTGCTTGTGCTACTTCTTGTCACCGTTTCGGAGGCTTTTCTTTTCTCCTGAGTTTGCCATTTCCAGAGTGAAATGCTTCATACTTCTGGGACCGAAAATGCCCCCTTCCAGGCTGCTTGAGCTCGCTCTTACCGAGAACTGTGGTACCAGTGAACTAAACGTTCCACCTCTGGGTTGCAGTTTCCAGCTTGCCTTGCTTTGTACTTCTCACATTCCATGTTCCGATCATATGCAGCACAGGACCATCCCTAGAGTGGCACGAGGTGTTTTGGATGCGTCTTTCTATTTTGGAAGCATTCATATCCTGCCTGGCTTTTCCCAGCACTTTGCTCAAAGTGGCGTACAGATTTAAAAAAAAATAGCACACAAAGCCAGATCAAGCAGATGATAGAGGCGTTGACAAAATGCCTCGGCGGGGCGATCAGCCATGCTGTTGGTCGGATGCCTGGGTCCTCTGGAAGGTGGAGCTCCTCTTTGCCCATGGTGGCTTTGGGCATCCTCAGCAAAATGCCCCTTTCTCCGGCCTTGGAACTGTTCGTGCACTGCCAGGAACCATGAGAAGCTCCCTGGGGGATGGGCTGAACAGCTCTCCTGAGGGAGGTGGGAAGGAGGACTGCGTGTGATTTTGGGTGGAGGGGGCAGCAATTTGTGGAGGGGACTTTCTGTAAAAGGTGAATCCTGGGCCACATCTTGCCTGCTGAGCTGGTCACAAAACGTTGCTCTTGTAATCACAACGCTCTTGCAAGGTGGGCTTCTCATACTGCAGATGGGGTGTGTTGCAGCTGGGCGCATATAACAGGTTTGCAAAGCCAAGCTGCAGTGTGTGACCCCCACAAGTTCCAGAGCCTTTCATGGTGGGCAGATCCCCGTCTCGCTGCTGCCTTGTGGGCAGTGCGGCTCAGCTGCAATCCAGTGGCCCTTTCTTCACCCAGACGTCCCTGGCACATTTTGCTGCCCCTTTTGTGCTTGCTTGTCATGGTGCTCCGACTTCAAGGTTTTAGTTTTAATGTTTTACAGAAATCTTTTTGTGATGCATTATAAAGCATTTTAGTCTTTCCTTGTTGTCCATTTAGTAGGAGTATTTGCAACAATTTCAACTGAGGCCTTATTTATTTGAATCCAGCCTGCCGATTCTGCCGTGGACTGCTTTTTCCAAGTTTTTTTTTGGTTTTCCTTTTGGAGGGCATTCTGAGGGGGTGATGTGCATGGATATAAGCAGAATGAAGTCTGCATACATCCCTAGAAGCACAGGTGCTTGACAATCCATGGGACACAAACGGAAGGGGCTTAGAGGCAGCTGCGCTTGCACAGTGTGTATAATTCGTTGCATAAATGCATAACAACCCATAATTCAAAACAGGATTGGGGGTTTGCTCTCTCCACCCTCCTGGCTCTTTCCAGGTGTCGTGGTCCCAAGCTGTGTAAACCAAGACGTTGCCTTCAGCTGCCTTCAACTGCAGGCTCATGCACCTCCCCAAACTACGGGCAACTTCTGGCCCTCCAGAAGTTTTGATCTACAGCTCCCATCGCCCCTCCCCATTGGTGATGCGGGGTGAATGGGAGTTGTGGGCCAAAACTTCTGGTTCACCCTTGTGTCCACTGAGTCATTGTTCCTCTCCATGGCTCCAGAGTGGAATTTATTCCAGTCCCATGTGAAGATGTTGGGGATCAAGCCCGGACTTCTGTATCCAAAGCACATGCATGCCAGACCCTTCCCTGCACCTCCTAAGTAATAACAGATCTTCCGTATCCTAAAATCCTGGGCTTGTGCAAGCTGGTTTGCCCCACTCTGATCTGAGTTCAGCGGCAAGTGCCATGCCCCAGCTTTTGAATGTCTGGTGCAAATGTGTGTAGCATTGTGCAGGGTGTGGAGTACATAGAGACTGCTGGGTGGCTTGAAAGTGCCCAAACCATTTTTTTTCGGGGGGGGGGGAGTACACACACTGTCCCTCTTGGTAAACCTGTTCCACCAGAGAGACTGTTGTGCAAATTCCACCCTTGGGTTCAGAGCATTGTGACCTGGCGAGGTACCAACCACTCCAAAAGTATTGGCTTTTCCCTGAGCAGCTCTGAAAGGTCTGAATATCTGTCTATCTATGGTACAAACACAGCTAGACATGCACAAGAAAGCGAGGGAGCAAGTTCCTTGTTTCTTCTCCGCCAAGGCCAGCGGTTCTGGGTGAAACCTCATGCCTGTTTAGACAGAAAAAGTCCTACAACTCTCCGGATTCCCTAGCTCAATTTCAGTATTGCTTCCAAACTGTTTAGTAGCATTAAATGTTGCACAAGTCCTTTGCGGTCTGGTGTTGTGTTGTGTTGTGTTGTGTTCCTTTTGGCAACAGCCCTTCCAGGCTGCCCTGCTATAACTGGGAGTACACAAGGATGGAGACCGTGCAGCTGCAAACAGAGTTTGTGGCCGCCGGCCACGATCAGTGCTTGAACTGTGATCTCTGTGAAAGTTTGTTTGCTCCTTCATCCAACTGGGAGATGCCTCAGGGGCAGCCAGAGTGTCAAAGCAATGCATCAGAAGGCATTACAGGCATTTTAGAACAGTCAATAACTGTGGAGACAGCACCAAATAAGCAGAGTTTTTGATTAAAAGCTGGAATATCTGGTGCATAGATATGTCCAACAGAGTTGCTGATGAGTACAGAGAATAATTTAAAGATATGCCTTGTGAGCAGGCAGCCTGCCTGTCCAGATGTTTCTGGACGTTAACTCCCATCATCCCCAGCCAGCAGAAAGAATAGTTGTGGGGCTGCAAGTCCCTCACCTGCAGGGTTTAATTCCACCCTTGCCAAACTCCCAATGGCAGGGCCGTATTTCTGAATGGACAGGTGTTTTCCCCAATTTGCTGAGCCCCTGGTGACCCAGCATCTGTGCAGGCACAGCTGCCTAGAACTATGGAGGCTGCAGAAGAAGCAGCAGGAAGCCAAGGCAGCTGAGGAGCATGCTCAGAGGCATCGCAACAGCAAGCTGCACGCATGGGGCTGAGTGGCAGGTCTGTTCCGTGTCACCATGTGGCTCAGTTTCTTTTCTTTGCTGCAGCCTCTGGCTGAAGCCTCTAAACAGAAGTGTCTGGCTGATTTCAGGAACTGGGTTCTGCTCACCTGCTCCTCGGAGCCCGCCCCCCCCCCGGCTCACTTTGCTTTTGTTCTCTCCGTGTGTTTCCCCAGGGTGCTTCCTTTTGTGCGCAGCCGCTGAGATGAGCCAGGCCTTCCTCCACCGTCGGGTGAGTGGCTGCAAGAGTGCCTGTCCTCTGGGGGCCCCTGGGTGGGGGCGGTGGTGCGCAGGGAGCTAGAGTTGGTGCAAGGCTCCTGCCGAGCAGCCTGGTTCTTCCGCTGCTGCTGGAGCGCCTGAGCTTTATCCTCTGGGGTGATGCTGACGGAGTCGTCCTCCCTGCTTCAACCGCCATATGATAAAGGAACGTACGAGACCGTGTACGAGACCGTGTGCTCCCATGATTCGTTTCCTGTTTGTTTCGTCTCGCTGTGCAGGGCTTAGTGGTTTGAAATAGGGCAGGACATGTGTGTGGGGCCAGGACTTGCTCGGCTCTGCCTAGAAGGCCATTCTAAGGGGGGAGTAGTGGGGGAAGAGGCGGCTGGGAGCCCGGATGCCTGGGTTCCTTCACGCTGGGCATGTCAGGAAGCAGAGCTGTGGTCTCGGGTCTGTGATCAGTGAGCTTTCAAGCTGGCCTTCTCCTGAGACGGCTCCCCCATGCAGCGTGCACTCTGTGCTGCCAGCCCTCCCCGGGGGCCTTTGTGCCGCCATCCCCTCCACCAGAGGCCTTGGAGCACGGCCCCTGCGGTGCTCTTGCTGTCCCAAGCCAGAGGAGGGCTGCCCCCTTCCTTCCCAGCCTGGCTGTTCTTTCCTTCTGCGGAGGAGAGGCGTTCCCAGATGGGCAGCCTCTCCTCTCATTCGCGGGTAGGCCCAGGAACCTCCTCAGCCCCCCGTGAGCTGCCCCTCCTCAAAGCTGGTTGCGAGGATAAAATAATCTCTTCCAAAGAAGCGGTGCTGACAGTGCTGACATGAGAACTGATGTCTAAGGGCTTGGAGCACGGAGGAGCCGAGCTGTGCCTAGGGCGGCTGTTCTGACTACTTTTCGTTGGTCTCCTCTCCTGCCGTGGCAGGTGTCAGGGTGTGGGGGGTGTCTTTGGGGAGGAGGCTTCCAGACAGAAGCGATAGATACCCATCTCATTCCCAGACCTCCCTCCTCCCAGGTGCCCAAGAGCTGAGAGGACGTTCCCGCCAGCCGTTGTCAACATGCCTTATTTCACCAAGCACTTTTGGGTAAGAGACTCCAGTGCCTGTGCCGGGACGATTTTTCTTCTCCTCCTCCTTCATTCTGCCCTGACCTCGTCTCTGTTTCACCGGCACCCTTTTTTCCAGCTGAAGTTTCCACCCGCAACTGAGGCTGAGTTCCCATGAGAATACCACAAATGTTTGTGGATTCTTTCCCCCTTCCTTGTTCTTTCGCATGTGTGACTTATCAAAAGGTTAACAAGGACCTTAAAAGAAAGAACCAACATCAACAGTAGATCAGTGGGAAATGCAAGGCAAAGCACAATGCAATAGAAGCTTTCTTTTTCCCAGCCTGACACCCTCTGGACGTGTTGGCTAGGAATGATGGGAACTGTAACCCAGCATGTCTAGAAGGTGACACGCTGGGAGAAGTCTGTGACTAAAGGTTAAAGAGAGAAAAATAATTTCACTAAAATTTGGAGTTGCTTGCAAGGAGCTGAATGCAATAGCAGTTGAGAAGCAGAGGGAAACTGAGGCAAGGCATAATTGTCCAAGCTGGAGGGGTGAGGATTGAGTCAGGATGAGCAATGAGCACTTGGGAAGATCCCAGAGTACAGTAAAGCTGTGTCCAGTGAAGAGAACCATTCCTTGTGCACAATTCGAATTGCCAAACAATTAGGTCTGGCCATTTGTGCTCGACTTGGCAAATATGGTCCTTCCTTCCAGTATTTGTAAAATTTGTTTCTCTCTCTAGAATTATTTTAAAGGCAGCACTTGGGAGAAAAGTCACACCAAAATATGCAAGGGCCACAAGATGCAATGATACGGTAACAATGCGGATTAGTGGCAAAGCAGTCTTTGTGATCGCTGCATCTTGGCAGGTGCAGAGCAAGGCTTAAACTGCTCTGTCCCTGCGTGCTGAGATGGAGCTGCCTGGGTGCAGCTGGCAGGGACAAAAAGGACAGGTGCCTCTGGTTTAGAATCCAGGGCCGACTCTATTTACCACTGCCCCATTTGCCACCCTTCTCAGAATCTCAAGTGTTTTTCCCTGCATGTGTCAAGTTCCTTGATTCCCAGATTTCCAAAATACTCAATCCTGTGGCCCTTCTGTCCCACAGATATTCAGCCATTTGGTTTATTTAATTTCTCTAACACCCAACAGCTGAAACTCTCTAGACCTTCTGGGCATCGTCCATCCCTACTGAGCTGTTCAGGGGTTTTCTTCCTGCATGTTGCATTTAATTGCCCTGAAAGGTGTTTTTTTCTGTTGCAAATGTTGGTGTTCCACTGGTCCCCTGGACTGGCTACTCTCCCCTCACTCTGCTTTCGGCCACAGAAGGGACGGCGTTTGGAGAATGAGTTTGCAGCTCTGTATTTTGGAAGGAACTGGTGTGGATTTGTTCTAACTTGGCATGCTGCTTTTGTGTATGACAACAACACCCCGGCAGTGCTGGCTTGGAATAATGAGATTTGTAGTCCAACACATGCTGCTGGGGGACGTTGGTATAAACCCTCCTGGGTCGTAAGAGCTGCAGGAGATTGCTTGGTTGAGAGCACCTTAAACCTGCCCGTGTGAGTTGTGGGCAAGCCAAGAAGGGCTTCTCCCATGTTAACCCCCAGATGGGGCGGGGGGTTAGTAGGGGTGCAGTCCTAAGCACTTTCAGGAAGAGGAGAGTCTTCCAGCTCTCAGTCAGGAAGAAGTCCGGTAATACTCAATATTGCACGCCGATCATTCAAGGAGCAGATCTTAACATGGGTCTAGAAGCAAACTGCATTTTAGGAGAGGCTGCTCTGGCCTGCTGCTTTTGGTAATGTTGAGGCAGGAAAGTGCACTTCTGTTTTGGTTCTGAACAAAATTTATCAGGCACCAACTTGCAAACCATCGGAACCCATTCGTTCCCACTGCAATCCTGTGCATGTTGTGATGGTGAGAAGCTCTAAACCCCATGAGTAGGAATTGTAGGTTTCCTTGCTGTCAACCATGCACAGATTGTACCCAGATAAGTAAGTTGTCTACAGCACAGGCCAGGGTGTTGTTCAGGCACCGATCTTCAGGTTTTATTTTTGTTTTGGCAATGTCTCCCAGTGGACTCAGATAATCACTTCTGTGTGGTTGCTACCCAGCTTCTTCCCACTGAGGTGCTTTCCAACAGTTCCAGCTTCTCCTTTTTGCCTGGCTGCTCTGACACATTGCGAAAGAGAAGGCAGCTCCTTCAGACTTCAGGGCCACAGCCAGCTCAGTGACGGGGTGTCTGTCTTGCCCACAGATGTTTTCTGGCAAGGCCCCAGCCAAGACGCGTGTCCCCGTCCCTGCCACTGGGGTGGGAAGGGCCCTTCTTCTGCCCAGGGGTGTGGCAAGGTGCATGCAGCCAAAGCAAGTGGTGCTGCAGGTGGTCAGCACTGGGACCCACATTTGCCTGGGGCTGTCAGAGCAAAATGCCTGTTCGGACCCTGAGCACAAGACCCACATTCTGTTCCATGCAAAGGGTGCCAGCGTCAGGAAAGGCTGACATGCCCCAACCTTTCCCCTTGCAACCTCTGCTTGCACCCTGAGACGTTGTCTGGAGAGAGAGAGAAAGTCAGTGCACTCTGCACGTCCACAGAGCCCAGTCTCCCAGTCCCCTCCATCAAACCCTCCCTCCCTAGCTGGCGTGTCTCCTTGCTCAGTCGGCCTGCTCAGCTGTGGCATGTGTGTGGCTTCCCACAGGGCCATTCATTCTGCGCCTCCTGCTTCCGCCTGTCATCTGGCTCCGTGGTGTAAGCTGCTTGCAGGCAGGGACCTCTCAGCTTTTGCCTCTGGAGCTGTGCATGAGTAGTCCTGAGCTTTTAGCTGCAGGTGGGCCAGGCAAGCCTCGCTTTGAAAGACGGATATCTCTAGGAGCCGTGAGTTGTGTTTCGAATAATCTTTCGGTGCCTTGAAAGTTTCTTCTGAGTCTTTTTTGCTGGCGTGTTCAGGGATGCAAGTTTCACTCCCGCCCCCCCAGCACCACTTCTGTTTTCCAGATAAAACAATTCAATGTCTATGCGTTTAATTTTGGGGTGTCACAAGTTTTGTTTTCTTTTGCTGTCACATGCTAATGCCACTGTTGGTTCTACACATTGCATTGCATTTATTAAGTTGCATTTCATCTTTCAAAGAAGAAATGCAATTATTTCCAGTGTGAAGCGACATATAAATATTGTTTGTGATGAGCCAGCCAGCCCGTTTTCACATTATGCTTAGAAAACCTGGAAAACTGGTTTCACTTGGCATCCCCTTGATGGTGTGGGGAGAATGAGAGTTGAGGCTCAAGCAAACTCACCCAGGGATTCTGTGCAGTTCTCCATGAGACGGCCTCTGGGCAGCCTCTGGCCTCCTGTCTCCGCATGGGAGAAGTGACAGTGGCCTCCCTCACTGGCTGTTGCAAGGACTAGCAAGAGAAGGCAGACGGGCAGGCAAGCAAAGGGGCTACCTGAAGCAGCTCTCCATCCCTATCTGCCCTCCCGCCCCTTGAGATCCGAGGCGGAGGCCCTTCTTCAGGAGCTCTCCTTGAAAGGGATTAGGAGGGTGGTTACCCAGAGCAGGGCCTTCTCCACAGTGGTGCCCTGACTATGGAACACACTCCCCAGAGAGGTCCACCTGGCACCAACGCTTTTTTTTTTCCCAGTGCCAGGTGAAAACCTTTTAATTCTTCCATTATTTTAATTGTTAACTGGTCTTAATTGTGGTTTTATATTTATCTCTGGATGCTGTACCATTTTTTATCTTATTTTAATTGTGCTTGTTGTAAACTGTCCTGAGACGTTGGTAATGGGATGGTATATAAAATAACATAAATAAACTTCCCGTGGGGCTGTCCCTCTTGGGAATGTCCCAGCATGGCTGCCTGCCATGTTGCTTGGGCACAACCCCCAGGTTTACTGGCTAAGCTTGCTGGCCGAGGTTCATGGGAACTGAAATCCCACTCATCTAAGGGCAGCAGGCATGTGGATTTGACCTGCTTCCCAACAACTGAATAGTTTTAAATCACCCCTTTTCATGGCATGCTTTAATTATTCCAAGTGGGATGTTTGCTTTGAAAAGGGCTCTCCCCTGGGCAAAGGGAAGCTGCTGTGACTCTACTGATGGGCACCTTCGCCCCCCCCCCCGGTCCAGCCGGTGCTGTGGGGGCCGGAGCTTGCATCTGCCTGTGTTTCTTGCTCTCCAAGCAGCACTGCGACACTCACGCTTTCCCTTGCTCTGGCTGGCACTGGGAGGCACAGGGTGTGGGCACTCCAGCTGGGCTCTGGAGGGGAGGGGAGGGGAGGGGAGGGGAGGGGAGGGGAGGTCCATGAATGGGCACAGTGGGGGGTGGACCCAGCCCCCCCCCACATTATACGAGGGTCCTCCTTTGGAAATGCTCAGTGGGTCTGAAATAAGGCAGGGAGGCATGAAGGGGAATGGCTGGCCCAGCCCGGCCTGTAGGATTTTCTTCTTCAGTGCTTTTCCATCTGTACTAGCTGCCAGTTCATGGCCCAAATTGCTGCTGTTGACACCCAGAGCCCTAAAGTACAGAGGGCCATGTGAGGTTACCTGGAGGCTTGTCTCCTCCCCCATAACACCTGCCTGGACCCCAAAATCATCCTCAGGGGCCCTTTTCTGGACATGAGGCTCCTTTGGGGAGGGCCTTTTCTGCCTTGGCCCCCTGGTTGCAGACAAGCTTCCCAGCGGAACATGCCTGGTATCTATGCTGTGCTTTTTTGGGTGTCAGCTGAGGATGTTGTTTTCTCAGGGATTTTAGTCCTCACTCTCCATTGCTTTGGACTGTTTCACAGAACAGTTTAGAACGCTTGCTGGGTGTTCTGGTGGGTCTTACTTCTCCTTTCTGTTATAATTTGCATAATTTCTGTTATAACTTGCATAGTGCCTTGTATGTTGTAAGTGTACTTGTTGTGAACACCCAGAGCACTCAGCAGAAAGGTAATATTAATTAAGAAAGGTAATACATAAAAATAGTTACCTTGAACTGGGGGTGGGGGTCCCAAGCACGTGCACTCCCCTCCCCTGTGGAGTGTGAGCCGCCGTGCCCAGCAGGGACCGGGCAGGCGGATTCCAAGACGTGAAGCCCTGCTGGATCAGGCCCTTAGTGGAGCGCCCGTTTTCCCTGGGTGCTCGCAAGGGAAGCAGCCGAATGTCACGGAGGTGTCAGCGGCTTTGCAGTGCAGGCACAGTGGACATGCTGGAGGCAGGCAGCGGCCGTGCGTCGCACGTGGCACAGGGGTCTGGAAGGCGCCCTGGAGCCCATCCTGCTGTCCGTGCCCAAGGCCCCTGCTGTGCTGCCCCGGAGGCCTCCGGCCCAGTCTCCGGGGAGGAGAGTCGGTGTTTCCACGTGGCGCCATTGTGCCGCTAGGAGCGCCCCCCGTTGCTGTGGCCCGGAGGGGCAGAGACCTGCTCGCTGCCTCCGCTGCACCGGCAGCCCTCCCGGGTTCTCATTTGCTCTCTTGCCCTCCCGTTTGCAGGGGGAGAAAAGCCATGGCTTCGACGTCCTCTATCACAACATGAAGCACGGGCAGATTTCGGCCAAGGAGCTGGCGGAGTTTGTCCGGGAGAGGTATGGACCGGGCGTGGGTGGCGCGCCTCCCGAGCTTGTCCTGCCGGCACGGAAGCGTTGGCCGGCCTCGCTCGGCTCCCTGCTCCCGGCGGGAAACCCAGCCTGGTCGTACACCGTTCCTGAGCACTGTTGCCAGCCTCACCGTGGCCCTTCCGAGGGTGGAGGTGCCAGTCCACGGACCGGCCCCTTGTGAGACCCCTTCTGCTTACCGGAAAAAGAACCTGCCTGGTTTGGGGCACACGTGGGCAGTGGGCGCCCCGTGCTGCCATCCCACTCGGCTCCCCTTTCCCCCGAGCAGATTTTCTGCAGTAAGAAAAGGGATGGAGTGAGTGAGGAGGAAACTTGGAGGCTCTGAGTGGGCAAAAAGTTGTAGAGTCGTGCTGGGTGGTTGCAAAATGCACATTTTTCAATAATAACAATGACAATAATTTTAACCCACCCAATTAGCCTGTGCATGTTGCAGACAATAACCGAATATTAACTAATGAGGGTGATCCCACAAAGTGGCACACGTGTGTGTGTGTGTGTGTGCCTGTGTGTGTGTGTTGGAGAGGTTGCAGAGGTTTGATCACTTGGTGCTCAAATCAACATCCTTCAATCATTCCGAATTCATGTCCATTTACTGGGAAGATTATTTATTCCAAATCAGATGTAATGCAGGGAATCTCAGTGCCAAATTGCCCATGTTTACAAAAATTCAGACCAGAACAATAAACCTCAACGTTGCAGACTATTAAAAACAACTTGGGGCCTCAGTGCTATGCCTGCTTAGACAGGAGAGTTGTATAATTCCCTGCTCAGCCTATATATAAGTTAATGCTACACTCTTTCACCTGGTTAAATGGAATGAGTCTTGCAGTTCGCAGGACGTCTGAGCCAGTATGCCTGGCTGGGGAGGTGAACCTTTCCAGGCTTACTGCTTATCCAGGCAGCTTTGGATGGCCCCCGAGCACCCCTGGCCTATTCAGGGAACCGATATGGCCATGGGGAGGCTGGGCATGAGCTTTCTTCGCCTGTTCATTGATAATTTGCACCCATAAACAGGGTGTCACTGGACACAAGCTCCTTTGTCCCTTCCTGAGCATCCCTGAGTGGTGGGAGCGGTGCCCGGGCTGGACTGAGCTGGCAGCAGTTGGTGCAGTTCGAGCAGGGTGTCTGCAGCTCCACCCGTTGGTTTTCTTTTCATTCGGCCTGTTAAGAATGTTTCTGAATACATCTTTCTGCCACAAGACAGACTTTGCCATAAGGGGAATTGGAAAACAGAATCACACTCGCCACTGAAGTAACAATCGGGAAACCTTTTTAAGCTCCTAAGAACAGATGACACAGTGTCGGAAATGACGAAGAGAAGGGCTGCTTGGTGGAAGCTGAATGAGGAATCATCCCACTTAAGTGGACACTGAAGGGAGAGAAAATTATCTTTGACCCTCTCCTAAATAGTAGGACAGGTCCCAAGTTGCAGACATCTCTGGGGCAGGTATTTGAAAAATGGGGTCACAACAGAAGAGAGCTTGTTTGCACTTGCAGGTAACACTAGCAGTGGTGATGATGATACAATAGGTACAAACCTACCCCATGGACTTGATTTCTTAGCTCAGTTAGTAGCTGCATGATTGCCATCATAGACCCTCCATGTATAAGGGCACTGTATCTTTGAATACCATGTGCTAGGAGGTTGATTGCTGGGATTGTCATCCTCGAGTCGTGCTATCTGGGGGTGAGGGGGTTTGTAGTCTATCTAGAGAGCATGGGGTTAGGGAAGTCTAGCCCAAGTGGACATCAAGGTCTGTGTAGTTCTCAGGTCTTTGCTAGTGCAGAATGGGGGGCGACCCAATGGGGGTCCATCAGGGAGGCCACCCTCACCCTGCGTCCCTTTGTTTTCCTGAGGGCGGCGGTTGAAGAGGCCTATGCCAAGTCCATGGTCAAGATGTCCAAGATGGCTGGCAACAGCACCCAGCTGGGGTGAGTGGAAGCCCTCCAGGGTTGCGCCAGGAGCTCCAGAGAGTCTGTGCAGGGAAGGCGGGACTGGCAGGGTTTGCTCACGGGCCAGAACTGCTTGGGGGCCGCAGCAAAAGCACCCTGATAAGGTCTGAGTTGCTCAGTGGTCCTGGGGTGGCAGCGGGCTGTTGGGAGGGGAAATGGAAACGGAAGTGGAACTGGCTGGAGGGGAAGTGCCTGAGCGCTGGGGTTCCCTGGTGGCTGGGGCCACGGGCAGGAACTCTCCACAAGACTTCATTTTATTGCAGGCCCCCTCTAAGAAAACAATGAGCTTCCTTCCACTTCCCAGACACGTCCTTCTTCGTTTTTAGCTCAGCTCAACGCTTTTTGTGGAGTCCCCTTGGTTTGTTCTGTGGTCTGCTAACTTTTGCTTTTGTGGGAATTGTCTGTCATGGTACCTTTAAAATGCCCTTCTTGAAAAACTCCCCCCATCTTGGACTCCTTTTTTCCTTAGGGTCACTTCCCACAGGAACTTCTGGTTACTTACCTTCTGGTGAATTTTCCCTGTAGTTGCTTTTAAATGGCATTTTCTGTGTTGCTGTTGACATGCCTGGCACTTCATAGCGAAAGTCTCTGTCCCTCAGTGATTCTAGTCTACCGTATTTCCCCAAAAATAAGACCTAACTGGAAAATAAGCCTTAGCACGATTTTTTCAGGATGCTTGTAATGTAAGCCCTACCCCAAAAGTAAGCCCTAGTTAAGATCATCAGTCAGACACACTCATTTATTACATCTGTTGCAACACATGACCGATGTATTGAATTATAAAATAATAATATTAATATATAATTAAATATAAATAAATAATATTATTGACATTAATACTTAAAATAAATGATAATATAAATTATAATTAAGTATTTGTAAATACCCAAGCAGGCACCTTTGGAGAAGAGGTAAACACCTATGTAAACAGATTAATTCGTAAGTCTTCAATTAACACTTGATTTAATGGTAGATTTAAAGGGAATAATATTTTGACCCCCAGACAAGATGAGTATAAAAAGAAAGAGTGATTCTGTCAAGGACAAGAAAGAAATCGTGTAGGACCCCCGGGGCAAGAATCTTATGGCTTTCGTAAGAAAAAATAAGACATCACCAGAAAATAAGCCCTAATGCATCTTTTGGAGAAAAAAATTAATATAAGATCTAGTCTTATTTTTGGGGAAACATGGCATAAGTTGGCACCAAGGAGACTGAGGGCGGGGGGAGAACAAAAGCAGACAGCTGTCGGGGAGGGGTACACCTGTCAGGGTTGTGGGTGCTGGGATGTGGTTGTGTTAGCTTGCAGAGGTGAGCGAATGGCGTCACGGGCCTTGCAGAAGAAGTGGGCTTCCCTGCCATGGGACCTGAAAGAAGTGCACGAGGGCTGCCCCCACGCAACCCGTGGCTCACCTTTCTCTGTTCCCCTTGCAGGACTTTTGCGCCCCTCTGGGAGGTCTTCCGCATCTCGTCCGACAAAATGGCTCTGTGCCACGCCGAGCTCGTGAAGAAACTGCAGGACCTGATCAAAGAGATCGGCCGCTACGGGGACGAGCAGCTGCGAGCGCACAAAAAGGCAGGCCGGGCGGGGGCTGCTGCCGGCCGTGGCATGTCCACTCCTGAGCGCCTGCCAGCAGGTGTAGCGCGCTCCAGCTGTGAAGGCTCCCTCGCGTCCCCGACTCCCTGATCTCTCACTACAGCAGGGGTGGGGAGGCTCGGCCCACCCTGCTCCCAGCCGCTGACCCCCAGCTGGCTTCCTGTCTTTGGCGCAGCTATCGCCCAGTCTCGGGCCAAATGCTTCTCAGAAGGTCAATGACTGAGCTGAAATAGGCTGGTATTTTGTCCCACCCCTCCAGAATGTGGCTGCCCCAAAGTGGGGCTCAGCCATGGGTGGAATGCTTATTCCCCCCCACTTGCTGCTCCACACAGAGATGCCGCACGAGGCCGGACGCCGGGCTTGCTGGGTGGGGCGGGAAGGAAGGGCTGGTGGAGGGAAGGGAGGAGCAGCAGCTTCTGGAGGCCGTGGCACGCACAGAACGCTGTTTGCTCTGGCGCACTGTGGCCGTTGGGCAGAGCCACGACCTTGCTCAGGGGCCCCCTTCCCGGCCAGGCCCTCCGTGCATCCTCTCTGAGTGCCTGCTTCTTCTCCCCGCTGCTGCACCAGTCGAAGGACGAAGTGGCCGGCACGCTGGAGGCAGTCCAGGTCCTGCAGGGGGCCACCCAGCAGCTCCCGAAGGCCAAGGAGACGTTCCACAGCCGTTGCCAGGATCTGGAGCGGCTGCGCCGGGAAGGGGCCGGCCAGAGAGAGATTGAGAAGGTAGTGCAGGGTGGGCGCACGCACCAGAGGGTTGCTCTGTCTGGGCGGTCTTTGGGCCTGGCTGCCGATGTGCTAGAACTGGAGGCGGTGGTGTGACGGGGGCAGAACAGGGAGGGTGATGTGGGATGTCTCCTGGGAGGGCCCCTCGGAACGGCTCCGTCGAGTGAGGTAAAACTGCCCTCGTTGTGTCCCTCCCAGGCAGAGCTGAAGTCCCGAAAGGCCGTTGAAGCCCTGCGGCGTGCCGTGGAGAAGTACAACGTGGCCCGCAATGACTTTGAGCAAAAGATGCTGGATTCCGCTGCGGTATGGGCAGGGGTGGCGTGGGGAAGGGGAGGGGGTGTTGCCGTGCAGGCTTAAAAGTGGGAGTCGATGGATTCATAGAAACACAGAAACAGAGCGAGTCAGAAGGGGTCTCCCGGGCCGTCTAGTCTGACCCCTGACTCCAGCCGCCTCCGCTCACGACATGCCCACCACGTGCATGTCCAGCCTATCTTTGAACACCCTCACCGATGGGGCCTCAACGACCTCCCAGGGAAGCCCATTCCTCACCCTCGGGGCCCTGACTGTCAGGAAGTGCTTCCAGGCATACAAGTTGAACCTTGGCTCCCTGAGCTTGGCTCCGTTGGAGCGCGTCCTGCCTTCCTCTGCAGGGGAGAACAGGTCTCTACCCACCTCCGTGTGACACCCCCTCACATACCTGCATGTCGCCAAGAGATCCCCTCCGAGTCTCCTCCAGGCTGAAGAGACCCAGTTCCCTCAGTCTCGCCTCATACGGCTTCCCCTGCAAACCGGCCACCAGCCTTGTGGCCCTACGTTGCACTGACTCTAACCTGGCTATATCCTTTCTGTAATGAGGGGCCCAAAACTGAGCACAACACTCCAATTGAGGGTGCACCAGAGTCGTGTAGTAATACCCCTCTCGATCTAGAAGCCACACTTCTGGCCATGCAACCAAGGGTGGCGTTCGCCCTCTTGACCACCGCATCACACGGCTGACTCATGTTCAGCCTGCAGTCAACCTGCACCCCGAGGTCCCTTTCACAAGTGCTGCTCTCCAGCCACTTGTGCAAGACCTTGCACTTATCCACACTGAACGCCATCCTGTTGTCCCTGGCCCACTTCCGTAGTCTGTCCAGATCCTTTTGGATCTGGAGTACCTGCTCCTCAGTCATGGCCACTGCTCCAGTTTTAGTATCGTCTGCGAATTTGATCAGCAGACTGTTCACCCCGTCTTCCATGTCATTTATGAAAAGATTAAACAGGATCGGCCCCAGAACAGAGCCCTGCGGGACCCCGCTTGTCCCTGGCTGCCATCTCGATGATTCCCCACTAATGGTTACCCTCTGCTTTCGGTCAGTCAACCATGCCCTAATCCACCGGACAGTGCTTTGGTGTATCCCAAAACTCCTCAGTTGCTCCACCAGGATATCACGGGGCAGTCTGTCAAAGGCCCTGCTGAAATCCAGGTCAACCACATCCACTGCATCCCCTCCATCCAGCCGTCTTGAAACCTTGTCATAGAATTCCACCAGGTTTGTCTGGCAGGACCTGTTTTGCAGAAGCCGTGTTGTGTGGCCGCCAGCCTCCCTTCCCTATCCAGCATTACTAGATCTCTCTCTATTAGGAGCCTTTCCAGTGTTTTTCCTACGATGGATGTAAGGCTAACTGGTCTGTAATTCCCCATGTCCCTTCTACTACCCTTTTTGAAAATTGGGACCACTGATGCCACCCTCCAGTCCTCTGGAACTTCACCCGTTCTCCACAAGGCCTCAAAAATGGGGGCCAGCGGGCGTGAGAGAACCCCTGCCAACTCTCTAAGTACTCTCGGGTGTAACCCGTCAGGGCCTGGCGCCTTTGTAATGTCCAATGCCCTGAGAAGCCCCTCAGCTCCTGGGGGGGGTGACTCTAATCTGTGCCCCTAAGTCCCCGGCCTCATCCAGTCCCCCATGCGGATCTCCCGCATCCTGCTTTGGGGAGAAGACAGAGGCAAAATAGTCATTTAGCATCTGTGCCTGTTCCCTCGTATCAGTCACTGGATCTCCTTCCTCCTCATTTAGTGGTCCCACCACTTGTCTCCCCTTCCTCTCCCTATTTACATGCTGTGAAAGAAGCCCTTTTTGTTGCTCTTGATATTCTTGGCCAGTCTCAGCTCGTAATCAGCCTTAGCCTTGCAAAGAATCCTTCTGCAACGGGCCTTCTCCTCCCGGTATACCCTTTTGTCTATTTGCCCCAGTACCCATTTCCTACGGAGGTTCCTCTTGCGTCTAATCCCTCTAACCACCTCCCTTCGCATCCATGGCGGCGCTCTCCTCCGCCTCCCCACCTTACTGACTAGAGGTATCGTCAAGGCTTGCGCCTCCAGAACCTCCCTTTTGAGTGCCAGCCACCCCTCCGCAACTCGCTTGCCTTCCAGTAACCTATCCCAGGAGACTTTCCCCAGTCTGGCCTTCGGTTGGCCAAAGTTGGCCCTCTTGAAGTCCCAGCTTCTAGTGCTCGACCTGCTGCACGTCCGCAGTCCCCTGATCTCAAAGCAAAGGATGGCGTGATCACTCGCATCCAGAGCTCCCCTAATCTGTACTTCATCTGTCAGCTCCTCCCTTTTGGTCAAGACCAAGTCAAGGATGTTTCCCCCCCTCATCGCCTCTCGGACCCTCTGTGCGAGAAACCCTCCCTCTATAGCCTCTATGAAGCGATGCGACCTGGCTGTCACTGCCAAGTGAGTCTCCCAACTAATATCCGGGAGATTGAAATCTCCCATAATTACGGTGTCTCCAAGATATCCTTAGAATCTGGCCTGTCAGGACATCATCCAGGGTTTCAAGGTGACCTGGAGGGCGATAACATACCCCCACTGTCAGGTCTCTTTCCCTGTCAATATCCCTAAGTTTCACCCAGACTGCCTTTGCCGAATCCCCACCTGTGCTGCATTCTATCCCACTGCATCCTATCCCTTCCCTGACATATAAAGCCACGCCCCCACCTCTCTTTCCCTTCTTGTCCTTTCTCAGAAGGTGATACCCCTCTATGTTCACATTCCAGACTTGCCTTTCATCCCACCAAGTTTCCGTGATGCCCACCAGGCCATACCCTCCTATTCCCAGGAGAGCTTCAAGCTCTTCCTGCTTGTTACCCATGCTCCTAGCATTGGTGTACATGCACCTCAACTCCTTCCCACCGCTCCCTTTCCTTGGAGTCCCCAGCCTCCTCCTTCCTCCCATCCTCCCTGATACCTGGCCCTTCTGTGAAGGAGTCCTGTCAATTCCTGCAGTATCTCTAAAACCCTGCTCCCAGAGCCCTGATCCTCCCCCCACACTTGTCCAGTGCAGACACGTTCCTGGGGGGCCTGACCCCCACCCCCCCGGCTCAGTTTAAAGTCTTCTGGACGAAGCTCGCTAGAGCATCTCAAAAGGACCTGTTCTCCATCCTCGTGAGGTGCAACCCATCCCTTGCCAGAAGTCCATTGGCAAGAAACCGGGTGCCGTGGTTGAGGAACCCGAAGCCTTCCTTCTGGCACCACACCCTAAGCCAGTCAATCCCCTCGGAGGCCCTCCTGTCCCTTCCTGGCCCAAATCCCCAGACTGGTAAGACCGACAAAAAGGCCACTTGGGCCTTCAGCTCCCTGAGTGTCTTCCCCAAGGCCTCAAAGTCCCTGGTGGTCCCAACCAGACCCTGCCTGGCCACATCGTTTGTGCCCACATGGATCACCTGGAGCGGCTGGTGACCCCCGGAGCGAACAAGACGCTCTGCTCTGTCCTTCACAGCCGGATGCGCGCATCCTATCCATACCTTTGAAGAGACTGGAGCACATTACTGGGATTCTGAGAGTGGGTCATGGGCACCCTCACAAAATGGCTACTGTGGCAGTGAGGCTTGGCTCTTTCTCACACGGCCACCTTGGTAGGCATGGCTGGGCACACAACCTCTGTTTCCTAGGAGGCAAAGTGTGGAGACTGAAAGGAAAGTTGCTAGAACCAAAGTCTAAGCTGGAACTGGGCTCGCAAGAGTTGTTGGCAACCAGAAAAGCAGGCACTACGTTGCTTTGCAGAAAGCCAGGCGCTCCAAACTAACATAGTCATGGTGTCTGCTCCGCATGATCTTGAGATGGGAAATGAAGTCAGTGAGGCCTCCAGCACAGGCAGTGCTGTGAGAACAGGGGACCTCAACTACGTTGTGTTGCTGAGCCATTCGCCAGCAGTGAAGACGCTGGTATCAGGTCTGATCTACAGTTAGGTGGAAGGCTGCCAAAGAGGCCGAACACGGTCGCGCCTGACTTTGAAAGAAGAAACTTCTTAAAAATGAGGGCACTGGTAGGGAGGATGCTGAAGAGGGCAATCAGGGAGTTTCAGTCGCTTCCGTGCTTGGAGATGACTCCAAAGCGATACAGTAGAGGCCCAGATAATGCACATACCACAAGTGAGGAAAAGCAGCAGAAACCCGCCTGGTTAATGGCTGGTTCAAGGAGTCAAGGAAGGTAATAGGGAGAAGAAAGCTTCCTTCCAGAGATGGAAGTCTTGCCCAGATGAAGGAAACCGACGGGACCACAAGCTTGCTCAAGGGAGATGCAAGCAGACTATCAGTGAAGCAAGGAGTTGGGTTGAGGAGCACATTGCTAACAAAATTAGGGGCAAGAATAAAGAGTTCTTTACATGTATCTCAAGAAAGAAAGCTGCTAAGGAAGCACTTGGGCCACTGGGTCATAATGGAATTAATGGAGCTCTAAGCAAGGATAGGGGACTGCAGGTGGCGCAGTGGTTTAAACCGCTGTGCTGCTGGGCTGGTAGATTGAAAGGTCGCTGGTTCGAATCTGCACAACGGGGTGAGTTCCCGTTGCTCCGTCCCAGCTCCTGCCAACCTTGCAGTTCGAAGGCATGCAAATGCAGGTAGATGAAAAGGTGCCACTTCGATGGGTAGGTAACAGTGTTCCGTGCACCTCGGTGTTTAGTCATGCCGGCCACATGACCATGGAGACTGTCTGCGGACAAACACTGGCTCTCTCGGCTAGGAAACAGAGATGAACACCACCCCCTAGAGTCAGGCATGACTGGACTTAATGTCAAGGGGAAACCTTTACCTTTAAGCAAGGATGAGGAGATTGCACAGAACTGAATGGACCCTTTTCGTCAGCCTTCCCAGCAGAGGATGCAGAGCAGATACCTGTCCCTGAGCCGTATGTATTCTGGCAGGGAGCCCAAGGCATTAGGGCAGATGGTAGTGACAAAAGACGTCGGCAAGTCATCCAGTCCAGATGGCACCTATCCTAGAGTTAGCAAGAACTCTAGCATGGAGGAAATTGCTGGCCTCATATTATATGCATGTCCCTTAAAACGGCCCTTGTGCCAGTGGATTGGAGAACGGCCAGTGTAATACCGATTTTGAAAAGTGCTCCAGTGGGGATCTGGAAAATTACAGACCAGTTAGCTTAACATCTGTTGTGGGTAAACTACTTAGAAGCACACAGAGGGACAAGCCCTGCTGAAGAGAAATTCAGCTTGGCTTCTGCAAGTGGAACACTGGTTCTAGGCTCCTTTCCCCAGTGCACAGGATGGCTGTGCAGAGCTTGGAGACATTTTTTGAAAGACACTGTGTAGTTGTTGAGAGGGGGATGGGCGCTTCTAACCCAGGTGAGCAGGAAATACATCCTCAGAAGTTTTGGACTTGACTTCCCAACATCCCTGAACCTTTGGACTTGCTGGGAGAGGCTTCTGAGAATCAGCATTCCAGAGATCTGTTAGAGAGATCCCAGTGGCATACCAACATTGGGGGTATCTGATGAAAGGCAGCAGTTACGCAATCTCAAAGCATTAAGTGACAGTGAGCATGTCTGTGAAGGAGCAAGGAGCTCCGGATAAGTCAAGGAACAGAGCTGGGTGTCTCAGGTTGCCAATAAAGCTTCCTCTTTGGAGGCTTGGTCCCAGGCAGCTTCTCCAGGAAAGGCTGGGAAAGAACCCTCCTCTGAAACCCTGGAGCATCGACAGGACGGTCTGGATGGGCCCAGGGCATTCTGGTGAGGCAGAAGGCATGTTCCTTGTGTTTTTGCTACCCGCCCCGAGTCCCGGGGCTGCCTGCTCTGCCGCCTGGGATACTCATCCGCCCAGCCACCTTCCCTCTGCTTTCCCGGCAGCGCTTCCAGGAGGTCGAGGAGTCCCACCTGCAGCGCATGAAGGCCCTGATCAGCTCTTACATCCACTCTGTGGAGGACACCCATGTCCAGATCGGGCAGGTGAGAGTGGCTGAGGGGAAGTGCAAGGCAGAACCCAGAGAACCGTGCAGATGTGGATGTGGGGGCGCAGGAGCGCAGCCAGTCCCGGGATGCGGCGGGATCCACGAGAGAGCAGAGGCTGAGTGCAGGGCTCTGGTCCCTGGGCCACTGCGCCCCGGGGAGTGAAGGCTGCTTCCTGCGCTCCACAGCAGAATGCGGCATGCGGTGCTGGCCACATCGCCTGGGCACTGTCCGCCGCTCCTGCCTGGAGGGGCACCCCTCCTGTGGGGCACAGGAGGGGCACATGCTGGAGCAGGCTTCATCCTCCCTGCCGGTCTGGTGCAGGTTGGACCTGGAGGGAGGCCTCCCAGAGGCACGGCCTGCTCAGGACCCTCCCCAGGAGCTGGGGAATGGCATGCCCCGGTGCCCAGTGGCAGCTGGTGCCCACAGTGAGCTTTCCCTCCCTCCCCACAGGTGCACGAGGAGTTCAAGCAGAACATGGAGAACATTGGCGTGGAGACGCTGCTGCGCAGCTTCGCAGAAAGCAAGGGGACCGGCTGCCACCCGCCAGGCTAGTGGGCGTGGAGCGGGACCGCCACATTTTCCCGGCTCCCTGCTCAAAAGAACAACCAGCTGCACCTATGAGCGGGCCAGTTGTAAAAGATTTCTCATGCAATTAAGAGAGCTGTGTTGCTCGACAGTAGTTTAGATTAAAATGATCTTCATGGTAATCGATGCAGGAAAGGAAATATTGGGAAAACAGAACAGTAATAAGGACAATTATTTAATAATGTTAATAAAACAAGCAATTATTAAGAATAATTCAGAATAATCTATAATGGTTCAGTTTGTTTACCTCCTGCCTTCTGTCTTCACAACATTCTGCAATGTATAGATGCATTTCATTTCATTTTCATTTCTTTTCTCTAATGCCAGGCTATTCTGAGGGATTTACAGTGATTAAAACCATCAGAGTGCATAAATGTAGTAATATCTAAATTGACTCACACATGAAGGCATTAAGCAATTGTGCACAGCTGGCCATTAAAATTCCGGGAACCATGTTTTAAAATTCTATTCTGTTGAACACTTTGGAGTCAAGGAAAATTGTCATGCCAGAAGGCTGACTGTGTTGGCTGGCCAGGCATCCGGGGTGATCATTCTGTAAGTGGGAGACACCCAGGAAAAGGCCCTGTCCCTCTCTGGCGCACTCCAGTCCTCCCTCCGAGGAGGCTTTCAGAGGATGCCTGCAGTGTCCATGTGTCTCCCAGCTCAGCAGCTGGGACTTTGCCTGGATCCTTGGCCATCCATTTGGGACATGCTTGAAATGTTGATCAGTTGCCCGTCAATGGCTGGGCTCACATGCTTCCTGTCCTGCTCCTGGGCTGAGCCAGAATAGGAGGAGTAGCCCAGTCTCCTCCTAGCCAGCCTCGAACGGTGCCGCTGAAGGGTCAGGCTTCGTGCCGGGCCCTGCTTTGCGTGGGAAGGGCTGCTGCGAGGATCCCAAGGTGATGCTCGTTTCCTTTCCCCCTGCAGGGCCTCTGGATTTTGAGGAGCTGAGCGTGACTCCTGTGCAGGAAGGCAAGTACGTCTGAGCGCCGGGCGGCCAGCACCGCGGGCAGAAGGGGGCCAGGAGGCGTGGCCAGACTTCCCGTCCTGGGGCACTGAGACCACCGGGACTGCCTGGGTTGGTTAGCTGGGGAAAGAGTTGGCTCTGTGGGGATCTGGCTTGCGTCATGAATGAGATATTCAGTTCAAGAAGACCCTGGAGCTGTGCAACTCATCCTTCGTTACTGGGAAGACGCACACAGACTTTCGGCTTTCACAATACTCCTCATCAAACAGCGTTCCCCGCTCCCTCTCCTTCAGGACCCAAGCGGACCCGCAGCAAAGCCTTCCGCATCCCTGGGCTGGGCCGCAAAGAGCGCGAACGGGACTCTGCGTAAGTAGGGGTTTTCCCGTAAATGGTCTAACCCAGCACGCTCGGATGGTCCAGTAATTCCTTTCTTTTTCTCCTCTTCCAGAGAGTCTCCAGATGCTGATTCAGGAGTGAGTTTGATTATTGCCATTGCTGTGGTGCTTGTTTTTAACGGTCGAGATCTGCAGGGCCTCGCCAGCCACCTCCTCCTCCCCAGTATTCCCTTGGGTCGTGCCCCCGTCATACTCGCTCTTCCCCCGTGGATTCCCAGAACTGTGTGGCTCCCAGGCATGTGCGGGGCGGTGTCTGCCCCGAAGTGCTGCGGCATCCGGTTTGACGTGGGTGAAGTAATGGAGAGGAGGGGGAAAAGCTGAGGCGGTGAGCGGGCAAGTGGCTGATGTTTGCTCCAGTTGCGTATGCTTCACCTGCCTGCTTCACCTCTGGGCAACCTCCCACCCATCTGGCTTCCAAGGGTTGAGGAAGTGTGTTCTTCTGTGCATGCAAGCATTCCCAGTGACCCAACTCTTCCAGCAGCATTTCTCCAAACTCCTCCTCTGCGGTGCTTGTTCCATTCCTGACTTTCGCAAACATCTGCCCAACATCCTCGGCTGTCTCTCCCACTCCGTTTTCTTTCTCACAGACAACCCAGATCAGGGCCTGGTCCCCTTGCTTTGGGCTGAGAGGCTTTCGGGCCAGGAATCCATAACCCTTCGGGGCAGCCTGGGGATCCACGTTGCCACCAGAGACTCCCTTCCTGCCCTTTTGGGATAGCGAATGAGGTCTCTGCCATCCATTGGAGTGAAAGCTCAAACTGGAGTGCCATGTTCTTGCCTTGACTGCATCCCCATTGCAGTTCTCTGTCTCCGCAGCCCCCAGAAGTGGACGAAGAGGGCTTCACTGTCCGGCCTGAAACAAGCCAGAATGATATCCTTTGATCTGCAGCTGTTGACTTGGGAGTCAAAGAAGGGTGGGAGTGGGCTTGGCTCTGTGCTGAATTTCTTGAAGGTTGGATGTGGTGTCTCATGAATTGGAAGGGCAGATGAGAAAGGGGAGAGCGGGTTGCTTGCAAGGTTGAAGTGGGCTACACCCCAAGTTTCCAGTTCCTGGTCACAATTTCTAAAAGGCAAGTGGGTAATCTGAAGGCGGAAGATGGGAGTCAGTCTGTCTGTGTGCTGGAGTCCGTGGTTCCTCCGTCCGACAGCGGGAGGCTCGGTGGAAGCAAGCTGGCCCCGTGCGTTAGCCGGAAAAGGAAGACTATGACATGAGGGAGCTTGCTCCACCTCTCCCCACAAGACGGAAGGCCTGGAAGAATTTCAAAACACAAAAACTGAGCTTAGCTTTTGTTTGGTTTTTCCCTCTCCCTCCTCATCCCCTTTCCTTTTGTGCTGTACGTTTTAGATTGTATATCAATGGCAGCGAAAGTCTCGTTACTAAACTCTGTAGACTACTATGGGAGTATTTTCTAGCTGAAGAATAGGGTAGAAATGCTATAAATCAATATAGATGAAAACAATTACTTTATTCATGGTATTTTTATTTTATCCTGCTTCTCGGTAACGTGTGTTACTGAAGTGGCCTACTAAGGATCAAAGATGGTGCCTGCCAGCAGGTGTGCATTCCAAAAAAGGCAGGCAGGAAGTGCAAGGAAGGCCAGGCTCCAGAGGAAGAGTACAGGCAGGTGGCACGGAATTGCAGAGGTGGCATCAGGAAGGCTAAAGCTGGGGATGAATGAGGTTATCAAGGTGTATGAAAATCAACAAAAGCCTTCTGATATTCCCAAAGTGTGAAAGAAAGAGATGGGGGTTCAACTACTCAGCAAACTGGCAAAGCAAAGGCAGAAGTTCTCAGTTCCTACTTTGACTCAGTCTTCTCCCAAAAGAAGATCTCTGCCCTTCCTGATAAAGGGGAAGTACAAGCTGAATCAGCAGGATGGCAGCTCAGGGTGATATGCAAATGGTGAAGGATCATGTAATGCGGTGAATGAGTTCAGATCTCTGGGGCCCGTTGAGCTCCACTCTGGAGTGACGCAGGAGCTGGCAGAAGAACTCTTGGAACCACTGTCTGTTATCCTTGAGATGTCATGGAGGAGGATCATGGAGAAGTGCCGGAAGAATGAAGAAAGACTCATGTTGTCCCATGCTCAAGAAAGGAAAAAAAGAACATGGGAGCTGCACACCAGTTGGTCAGGCATCCCTAGGAAAATACTGGGGCAGATTATAAAGCAGCGAGGCTGCAAACACCTTGAAAATGATGCAGTGATTGCTGGAAGCCAACATGGATTCCTCAAGAACAATCCTGCCTGTCTAATCTGATTGCATTTTTTTGATTGGGACATTCTTACAGGAATGCTGTGGACGGAATAATATTTCAACTTCAGCAAAACTTTTGACAAAAATCCTGATTAGTAAACTAGCTGAAAGTGGGCTTGATGGAACAGCCGTCAGGTAAATTTAGCTGCAGATTCAGGCGCAAAGAAAGGCACCTTCTGAAACTCAGAGAGGTAACAGGTGCCGCAGGGTCAGTCCTGGGCCCAGTGCTCTCCAACTTTTTTTTAATGATTTGGATCAGGAGGTGCAGGGAATGCTTAACAGATTTGCTGATGGCACAAAACTGGGTGGGATAGCGAAAACCCTGGAAGACAGAAGATTCAAGGTGATCTTGATAGTTTGGAGCACTGGGCTGACTGGGCTGAAATTCAGTAGGAAGAAATGCCAAGTTCTGCACCTAGGAAAGAGAAACCAAATGCATTGCTACAAAATGGGGAATACTTGGCTCAGTGATACTGCAAGTGTGAAGGGTCTTGAAATTCTTGTATTGCTGAAAATGAGTCAGTTGGCAATGTGATGTGGCTGCAAAAAGCTGTTTTAGGCTGCGTTAACAGAAGTATCCCTTCGAGATCCTGTGAAGTGCTTGTTCCCCTTTACTCAGCACTGGTTGGGACTCATCTGGAGGCCTCTGGGCACCCCAGTTTAAGAAGAATGCAGAGAAGCTGGAAGGAGTTCGGGAGGGCAAGAAGGATGAGCCAGGGACTGGAAACAAGGCTGTATGAGGAGAGACTGAAGGAACTGGGAATGTTTAGCCTTGAGAAGAGAAAGGTGGTCACAAAGAAGGAGGTTGGGATCCCTTCTCAATCATCCAAGAGTAGAAAAATGGGCTTAACTTAAATTTCCTGACTGTTGGAGTGGTATGGGAGTGGAACCAGTGACCGTCCAAGATGCAACTGGATGGCTGTCTGAGGGATGGCTTAACTCAGTGTCTTGCACTGAGCGTGGGGTTTGACCCTCTGGTCCCTTCCAACTCTTTTATGATGGTATAAAAACTCCCCCGCCCCCCATGTGAAATAATTGAACAGACCCCAGGCAGCCCACAGGGCGTCCCTTGTCATGGCCCCAACTTTTCTTGGCAGTCCCCAAAGCAAGGACTTTCAAGGTCTTTTCCTTGATTCTGCCCTTCCACGGGAACACAGCAACCCTTTCTGCTCCTCCAGCGACTCTGATTATGACGACGAGGAGCCGCACAAGTTCTATGTCCGGATCAAGCCCATCCAGCCACGGGAGCGGACCAGCAGCGCCGTGGCCGTGGAGCAGCTCAAGGCCTCCGTGGGCAGCCTCATCCTGCCGCCCGGCCTGGGGGTGAGTGGGAGGGGCTGTCCGGGGACACGTGCTGGCTCGGGGGACTCTGCCCCGGGTCTGCGAGGCGGGCCACCTGGAGGGCTCTCGGGAGGACGGGACCCCTGTGCACGCATGCACGCATCTTCCTCTGCCGTGCCGCCTCCGGGCTCCTCTCCTCCGCTCTGACTGGCAACTCGGGGATGTTCGGAAGATGCCCTGGACCAGGGCCCACAGTGTTGCCGCTCAGCTGGGCTGCAGCAGCGAGGTCCCTTTGACGTAACCGCCCTTCCGTTCTTCCCTTTCACAGTGCACCATGAAAAGGCATTCGTCCCGTAAGTTTTCTGCGGCCCCCCAGACTGGGGTGCGGGACCCCCTTCAGCCCGAGGACTTCAGAGGGGTTCTCGGGGGCTGCATGCTGGTCTTGGGTCAAGCCAAAGGCAAAAGGGGCCCCAGATCTTGGCCTATTGAAGATTGACTGCACTCTCTGTTGGTAACTCAGTTTTCAAAGCAGTGTTTCTTGAAGGTGCAGCGAGGCACCAGGCTGTGGCCCTCCGGGGGTTTGGCCCATGCAGCCTGCCCGAGCCCCTCCTGGTTCCTTTCATGCCTGCATGCGCTGGGGGGCTTGGGCGGCCACATTCCTTTGAGCTCGACCCCTAGCGGGAAGAAGGGCAGGAGAGCAACAGGCATGCTCGGGTGCCATGGCTTTGGTCAGTTTTCTCCAGGCTGGGCCCCTGCACAAATTCGCCCTCCATGGCAGAAGTGGAGCAGCTTTCAGAAGGGGGTTTCTGTGACTTCTGTGGTTCCTTTACTGAGCGGGCAATGAGGTGCCATCACAGGGGTGGATGTTTATTTGGGGAGCAGAGATGCAGCAGGACACAGAGGTGGCAGGGGCCCGACGGCCTCCGTGCACTTGCCTCTGGCCCTCCTTGTGCCGCCCCGCCCAGCAGATCTGTGTCTCAGCCCATGCCTGCCTCTGGGTGCTGCAAGCCGCCTGTTCTGCCGTGTTTCCCACGTGCTTCTCTTCTCTTAAGGGCACTTGAAATCTCTTGCCTCAGCGACAGCGGAAACAGACTCGGACCCTGCCCCCGTCCCAGGTGAGCGGGGAAGAGGCGGAGCCTGAGCAGAGCCCCACTGGACCCTGTGCCTCACCTGCCTAGAGCGTGAATTGCTTTTTCTCCTTCCTTTGTGCAGCTGACAAGCCGGGTCATGCGCCAGCCCCTCGCCTCGCCACCCAGGCAAAGAGGTACCCGTGCGTCCCGGGGAGCCACGTCTGTGTTGCGTTGCTGGGGTCGGGGTCCCAGCTGCGGGACCAGCTGCCTTGTTCTGCAAAGGCCCCCATCCTGTGTCTCAAGAACTGTGTCTCTGCCTTTGCATGCACGTCCTGGCACGACTTCAGAAGTCCAGGAAGTGGGTGTAACTCTGTTAATCCAGAGCTGCTCCCCAGGGCCTGAGCCACCATGGTACTAATGGTGGCATCAGTTGTGGTCAGCTGCTGCAGAGTCCCCACCAGCTTGGGGCTTCCTGGGCTCCAGTCTCCACCCAGACCCTTCCTGGTCCCCAGCCCCAGGCCAGACAAACACTGCATTCAGCACATGACAACCCAAGATCGGAGGAAAAACTAGGTGTTATTAAAAGGCTAAAAAGTAGGGCTGGAGGGTGCTAAAGCAGGTAAGAGATACGCACGGTAGAGTTGCCATGAGCAGAGCAGGGCCGTCCCGTCCCGTCCCGTCCCGTCCCGTCCCAGCTGCAGAACCCCCAGTCTTACCAGCCTCCTTGTTCATGAAAATGACAGCGCTTCACCCACTATCTAGCCACACAGATACTGATTGTCGCATCCTAGTACAGGTAGCTCAGCGTTCCTTGGCAGCAAGGAGGCACCTCTCCCTGAAGAGACGGCTGCCCTCCTGCTTGCGCTCCTTGTAGCCAGTTTGCCTCGATCTGGTGATTCATGGGGGTGACACTGCTGGATAGATCCCAGGGGAGAGCCTTCGCCTTCAGTGCTCCAATATCTTATCTGCTCTCTGGCGAGTACAAATGCGTCTGCCCTTGGCTGGGATTCACCACGTCTCCCTTCTCTGTTCCCAAGCTTGCCTGGCCCTCCCACAGCCTTGGGTTCCAGGGCTCCTTGAAACAGCACCTGGCAATGACAACCCTTTGCTGAAGTGATGCTTCACCTCTTCCCTGGTCATGCACCTGTCAGATCAGGTGCATGACCAGTTAATGTTACAGCACCTTCTTTCTCAGCTGGACTGGCATGCAGGAGCAGGCTGCAGCCAGGCAGGAAAGGGTTAACCCCCTCCCTGTATGCTGTAACTGCCCCCACCCCTCATTTCTTTCTCTGCTTTACTGCTCAGGTCAGGAAAGACTTACTGGGCATGATGCAGCACATGATGAAAATTAATTGAAACCTTTGTTTTCCATGAGGAGTTGTAGGCAGGATATGAATGTGCCATCCCCCTTGTGGGGTATACAAACTGGTGGCCCAGCAGGTTAAACCACTGAGCCGCTGGGCTGCTGATCAGGGTGTCAGCAACAGGGTGAGCCCCTCTGCTTTGTCCCGGCTCTTCCCTACCTGGCTGTTCAAAAGCATGCAGATGTGAGAGGATAAACAGGTACCACTTTGGTGTGAAAGGCAGCAGCTTTCCATGCACCTTGGTGTTTAGTCATGTGGCCACATGACCGTGGAACCCTCTTCACCAGGGACAGCGCTCTTTGGCTTTCACATGGAGATGGGCAGCAGCCCCAGAGCTGGGCACAGACATGACTAGCATTCAAGTGTGTGGGAACCTTTACCTTTCCTGCCTTTCCTGCCTTAAAAAAGTACTTTCTATTTTTGCTTCATCTGCACCGAGATGAAAAACAATGTTAGGGCAATTGATACAGACCTGTTGTTTCAGTGGTAGAAGCAGCCCTGGTGCAAACGCCTCTCTGGGTGCCTGGAAGTTCTGGGGACTTGATGCTGCCCAGGAAGAGATGCTCTGGGGGGGGGGGGGGGCGTTGGCATGTAGGCATAAGGAAATGGCCAGCCCAGGGAAGAGCGGGCCCGTCTTTCATTTCTCAGCGGCCTTGAATCTCTCTTGGGTCCTTGAGCTAAATAAAGAGTGCATTCCAAGGAATGGGGAGGACAAGAAGGAAGAAAGGGGATGGACAGAGTCCATTCCCAGCCCTCTGCTGGCCCCTGGGAGCCTCCTATTCAGCTTTGAATTCCACCAGGACTAGAAACTTGCCTTTAGAGCAAAGAACAAAACACTTAAGTGCAAGGAAGGCAGGATGCTGCCACTGTTTTTACTCGGAGTACAGTTTTTGAAAGCTGCATGCAGAATGGGAGCTTGAGGAAGGTGTGAATCACCCCAAGATCTTTGACCCCTGAAAATGACCCCCCCACGTACTTTTTCTTTTTTCTTTGCTTTTCCAAGCACTGACAGCAAAACTGAACAAGAGGCCTTGCCCACCTCTGCACTCTTTGGACCCCCGCTGGAATCTGCCTTTGAAAATGAAGACTGCACAGGTAAGAAGGCAGAGGGAGCGAATGCCTAAGTTTGGGAAGACCATGGAGCCCCCAGTGTTGGCACCTGGTGGACGTCCTCCCTCCCTTCCCCCTTTGCCATCCCGGGGGCAAGGAAGTGGAGGCACCCAGCAGGGGCCAGCAGATCTTGAGGGCCGAGTCCCATTTTGAAGCTGCATTGAGGGATGAGTGGAGCTAAAGCAAAGAGGGCCAAAACCGTGAAGAATCCAGGCAGGTATGAAACTGAGCTCTTCTGCCAGTAACTTCGATGTGGGGGAGGCATTGTGTGTGGGGAGGGCAGAGTACTCCCTCAGACTCCCTTCTCCTCTGTTCTGGTTTCTGGTCCCCTTGCAGCCGCCCGGTCGTACCTCTTGGCATCAAGCCCCTCCCCATTCTCCTCCTCCTCTCCCGAGAACGTGGAAGACTCTGGCCTGGACTCACCGTCGCACCTGGCAGCTGGGCCCTTCCTGGAGTCCCGCCTGTGGAGCCCACGGCCCAGCACCCCGCAGAGCCCCCTGGGTGGCCAGCGGCCCCCCAAGAGCACCACCGGTCTCCGTGGCAGCTGCAGCAGTCTGCCGCCCGACAAGGCCCCCAGCCCCTGGCTTCCCCAGCCGGCCTCCCAGGAGCTCTCCTGCTTTGCCACAGAGGTTGACTGGTCCGATGCTGGGCCTGCCTGGCCCGGGGCGGCCCATGGCGACGCTGCCGCAGGCTGCGAGGGCTCCTCGCCAGACCCCTTCTCGCTGGAGGGCGCGGCCTGCCATCGGCGGGCCTGGCCACTGCCGGACTGCACGCCCCGGGCCTGCGAGCGCGACAGCTGCCTCTCGTCCAACTCGGCGTCCTCCTCCTCCTCTTCTCCGGCGCCCCCAAGCAGCGGCGACTCCACCAGCCCGTCCCCCTGGGCTCCACGGGGCAGAGACCCGGACAGCGGCCCACCCTCCGTCCCGGATCTTTCAGCCGAGCCGGGTGAGTCAAGCCAGGGACCTTGTGGAATGTGCCCACGCGTCAGCCCACAAGGCAAAATCTTTGGACACGGAGCACCAGCTCAAGTTGCAAGGCAAACCGCAGTCCTGTGGTTGCACTGCCCCACTGATGCCTGGAGCTGCCGGCTTGTGTGGGAGTGAAGGCCGAGGCGTCGCCCCAGGCACCGGCCGACGGGCATCACCTGTTTGCTGACTGCTTGTGCCTGCTGGGGGTCGGCGTGGAAAGAAGATACTCCACAGCAATTGCTACAGGGCACCTTAAAGGTGTAGCAGCCAGCTTGTTTGCGTCTGGGTCACTTTGGGGAGCAATGGGGTGCCCCCTTACTGTGGTCATGGGCAGGGGGAGCTCTGGTGCTGGGGACTTAGGAGCCGGCCGAGCAGAAGAGGGGCTGGACACCTCACGGCTCCCCCATGTTCGGGTCCTTCAGCCAGCCGGAGGATTCCTGGCAGCTTTCTCAGCCTGCGCCCAGTCTGGTGGGGTTGCTGGCGGATGCCGGACTGGTCAAGAATGAGACCCGCCTCATGCATGGCTTGGCTGTGGATGAGGGTGCTGGCCTGGCTTGCGACCCTGAGACCTGGGTGGGGGAAATAGGGTCCCTCTCCCCCAGCTGTGCCCTTCTGGGTCCTGACAGCCCCCGCATGGACCCAGGGGCTGGGGAGCAGGTGGACATGGTCTGTGGGAAGACGGCCTCTCTCTCTAGGCTCCAGGTATGGAGTGCAGTGCCTTTCACTAAGCACCCAGAACAGATTTAGGGGTTCAGCTGGTGTACCACCACACTGCAGCCAGTTAGACTCCCTCTCTGAACTGAAGGAGGAGGACTTGGTGTTGAGGACCACCAGGATAGTGGTTCTGGGCGACCTGAACTTCCATTCCAGGCCAGCTCGGGCCCCACGGCCGCCAGGACAACCACAGGGCTGTCCCAGCAGGTTATTGGGCCTTCGCATGCGATGTGGAAGGGGTGGAGATGTGGAAGTGGGGGAGTTGACATCAGTCCCCTTGTCACGGCCAGGTCCCTTCCTACGGAGGCTTAGGCTTAGGCTTTTGGCTCCCTTTCCCCTCTGCCGGGGAGCAGAACCTCCTGAAATGGTCCGTCCCCAGAGGCTAAAGGATCCCGGTAGTTGGCCGAGGGCTCTGTGGCGTTTCCTGCTGGCACAGCTGGTGCTCCTGTCAAAGCCCAGGTCACTCTGCGGAATTGCTGAGCGGCTGGCACGGTCGCTCCCCAGCGCCCTCTCCTCCCCAGCAGAGCCCGGCCAGCGCCTTGGTGCTTCCTTGGCGGCGGCGGCAGTGCAGCAGGAGCAGAGCTCGTGCCGAGTTCGAGCGCACGTGGGCAGAGCTCATGCTGCACCTCCTTGGTGGTGGTGCCACAGCGGCATCCCAAGCACCGCCTGATCCAGTCCTGCTGGACAAGCTTCAGCTGTCGAGGCCGGAGGACGTGGGCAAGGTGCTCGGTCAAGTCCAGCCCTCCGCTTGCCCATCACGGCTTGTTACAAGAAGCAAGGCAGGGAGAGCTACCTGGGTTCAGGAGGCTGTGAACACCTCTGTGAGAGAGGGAGGGGAGCCAGCCTGTCTGAGAGAGGCTGTTACTCAGCTGCTCCTGAAAATGGCTCACCAGGAGCCAGAGGCTGTTAACAGCTACAGGCTGGTGGGCAACGTCCCCTTCCTGGGCAAGGTGCTTGAGCAGGTGGTGGCCGAACAGCTCCAGGCACTCCTGGACGAACCGGATTACCAGGTGTCAGCCCTGGCTTTGGAGTGGAAACTGCCTTGGCTGCCCTGTGGGAAAACCTTTGCCAGGAGAAAAGCTGTGTGTGTGTGTGTGTGTGTGAGAGAGAGAGAGAGAGAGACAGACAGACAGACAGACAGACACACAGACACACACACACACACACACACAGCGAGCAAGCACAAGCGCACTCATTCATTCTCCTGGAACTTTTATGCTAACTTAAATTTTAGTTTTAATATTGCATTGTTTTCTTGTACAGCTAGAGAGCTTTGACTATTGGGCAGTAAAAAAAGAAATGATGAATACATAAATACGATAACATTTTGCATTTTAAAAATCTGAAATGGTTTAACATTGACTGGTGGCTTGGCTTTGGGGCACTGGGCCGTGCTCAGTCCGCTGGCCAGTGGGGTGGAAGTTCCGGTGCATGGAATGCACCCAGGCGCCCAGCCCCGTCTCCATTCTGCTGGAGCAAGCACCTTTCCCTCCGTTCGGCCAGAGCAGCGCCAGCTTCTTGGGCTGAAGGGCAGTCATTCGGAGCTGTAGCTTTTTCTGTGTACCTTGAAACAAAGAAGGCCGGCGGCTTTCTTTCCGCTGGTCAAGCAGCTGCTTAAAGGTTCTGGGGCCACCATGCAGGGGCAACAGTTGAGAGTTTGCCCTCCCTCCTCCACAGCTGCCTTTCTCTCACCCCTCCAACCCATTCCTGGACCACGGCCTCTCTGCAGTTTCATACTTGCATGTTTTTCCTGACCCTTCCCTGAAGATGCCAGGGATTAAATCTGGGACCTCTGCCGCTGAGCTAGGGATCTTCCTCGTGGTCTCTGTGTATCCCACACATGGGCTCTGTGTGTGTGTGGACCCTGTTGGGCAGGGTCCATTCCCAGGCACAAGGGAGGGGTTCCCACTGACCCCTCAGTGCTTCTACTGCCATTCTCCTCTGCTCTCCACCGCTGTTTATTTACCTTCAATGCTCTTCCCTTCTCTTTGTCCAGCCTTCGCTTTTCAACTGCTTGCCTTCATGCAATTTCCTTCCTCCTCAAAAAATACCATAAAGAATCAAAAATACATCCTCCCACTTGCCTTCTCCCTCTCCTCCTCACCCATTTTCTCTTTCCACCCCACCATGGCCCTCAAAGCTCCGTTTAGACGTCGCTCTGGCTTTGGCGGCCTAGTGGCCCACTCTTCTGGCACGGGGCCACGGTGGCGGTCTCCTGTCTTCTGCATGGTGGATCGAGTGGGGGCTCCTTCCTCATGTCTGAGCAGGGCTGGGGAGGGGCTCCTGCCCAGCAGATCTTAGCTGGGAAGCCTTCCCGACAACACACTCCACACAGGTGCAGAACCCAAAATATGTGAATGCACAGATGCCCCCTTGAAGAATGACAAAGACTGGTAAGCAGCCTTACTAAGGATAAAACAAGATTCCAGTCCTCATTGTGCTGCATTAAAAGCAGATTTAAACAGCATTTGCATTGTACTTTTTACTGCCTTTTGTGCCCTTTTGGGATCTTTTTGTTCCAATGTTTGCCTTTTCTGCTTGACTCCTAGTTCCCCTTCCTCCCTGTGGGGCACCCGGTTTGAATCCTGTTATGGCACCTCCTCGGCGCTGCCGTGCAAAAAGGCCCCTGGTGGCTTCAGCCAGCTGTATTGGCAGCGAGACGGTAAGTGGCAACCTCCCGGCAAGGGAGAGTCGCCCGCGGCACAGATGGGTTGGAGGCATTGCAGAGCAGGGCTCTGTGCGGAAGGGGCATTGGCGGACGGTTGAGGGGTCAGCTCCAGCAGCGAATTCATGCTCTGCCATAAGTCAAGGTCCACATCTAGTGCAATTAGTGCGCAAGCGGATTGAAAAGGGAACAAACGTACACGTATACAGAGATGCCCCCACCCTTCCTTGCATGTGTGGAAGAGGAAGAGGGCTTCTTCCGAAGGGCCCGTGTTGATGGTTAATTAGATTATGAGCTCGGAACATGCTTGCTTGCTAGGCTCTGGTTCTCAAGCTCCTTTGGGGGTGAGCCCCGAGTGACGTGTAGCCTAAGCCTGGCAACGGTGACAGGTTGTGCAGAACTCACCAGGCGCTGCCCGTCTGGTCCGCAGAAGTTCCCTGCAGCTCGGAGGCCATTTTCACTTGGTGTGCGTGCTCTGACGGAGGAGGTCGGTGCCTGTGATGGGGCCAGGAGCACCATAGCCGGGAGCCCGTTGTTCCGCAGGGACAGGCACAGAATGCCAGTGGCGCTTCTGCCGCAAGGGAAGAGGGGAAGCCTGCGGGGGGAAGGGTGCCGCGGCCCCTCGACTCAGGCCTGCCCCGTCCTGTCTCCCCAGCCTCGTTCCCTGAGCCCTTCCCCACTCTGGGCTCTGTCGGCTTCTCAGAGCTCGGCCGGCCCGACTGAGCGCACCTTCTTTATGGCCACCCAGCCGGGACTCGGTACGTACCCAGCCAGGGAGTGGGGCTGCCTCTCAGGGAGGGTGCGGGCACCTGCTTGGTTGTGAGGAGGGAGGTGCGAGAGGCAGGGGGACTGTGGGGTACAGCATCTCCGTGGCACACCGTGCCGGAAACATTTCATTTCAGATAGGCTGCAACCACACGGAAGAGAAGCCTTCATCTGCCTTCTGTTTTTTGTATTGTTCTTCTTTGCTTGGTTTTTGTCTTCTTAGGTTTCTTTTTCTTTTGATCTACAAGCAGCATCAGCACCTATATAATCCAGTTAGAGCTGGAAAAGTCTGTCCACCAGTATATGCAGCTTGTATGCATAAATATATTTCTTCTCAGCATTTTTATCTTTCTCTTCAACCCAAAGAAAGTTCCCAGAGCCAGTAACAGAAGAAACAGCTCTTGCCTTCGGCCTTACACTCTAGAAGACATGATACAAAAGGAAAGGGGGTGGGAAGGGAAGAGGAAATCAGTGAAATTCAGGCCTCAGTTCTTTGTTTCAATTGCCTTCTAGGTGTTCCTGCTGGCTGGGAAGGGCAAAGACAAGCTCCCCCATGCAGTTCATTCTCTGGCTGATTTTGGGGCCAGGCTGGCTCTCCCTTGCCAGGAAGTCCTTCCTGGGGGTGCAGCCAGCCGTGGCCCTCAGGTCCCCAAGCAGTGGATGGGGCACCTCTCATCTCCTCCTCCTCTTGCTAGGTGTCTCCCGGGGGCCCTCCCCCGTGGTCCTGGGCTCTCAGGGGGCCCTGCCCGTGGCAGCCGCCTTCACGGAGTACATCCACGCCTATTTCAAGGGCCAGAACCCTGACAGGTAATGAAAACCAAGCAGTGCTGATGGGGCCCTTGTTGGTCTTTCACTGTTCCATGGGGCAGGGGGGCACCTGCCAAGCAGTGCCCTCCCCACTCATGGAATGAGCTCCTCACTGAGGTGCTGAGAAAGGCGCTCTGCTCCAGGCATGTTGTTTAATGGCAACTAGTGCTTTTGTTGAAATGATTTTCAGCTGTTTCAGTGGTTTTGATGTTTGTAGACTGAATTTTTGCCACCTTTTATAATCTGCATTTGTGGGTTGTAATTTTTATGAATTGCTTTGAACAGCTCAGGGAGCTTCAGCTGTGGGCGAGTATGGAAAGGAAGCACCATTATCTTCAGGGGATCTTACAGTGACATATAAGTATGTGCAAGGGTGTCCCACAGTGGAGGGCCAAGACCTGTTTTTCCCTGCAGTAGATGGAAGGACATGATCCAGTGGGGCAAAGCTGAAGGAACCAGGTTTAGGTTGGGTGTCAGGAAATTCCTCCTGACAGTTAGATCCGCAGGATATGGAATGGGCTCCCATGGATGTGGTGGAGGCCCCATCAGTGAGGGCACTCAAGGAAAGATTGGACACCCACATGGTGGGCATGTCGTGAGCGGAGCCGGCTGGAGCCGGGGGTCAGGCTAGATGGCCCGGGAGGCCCCTTCTGACTCACTCTGTTTCTATGTTACCATTTCATCACTATTGTTATTACCATTACCCAATTTTGACGCTCTCCGTGTGTTGTGCAATCGTTAATCAAATGCAAAATAAAATATAAAAACCACAAAAACACAAAAACATTCTATTAGAAATGTAAAAGCAAATGTTAACAAGCTGGGACAGGTCATTCAGCAGCTGGCAGTAACCCCTCATGCTGTTCAGAGCACTTAAATGCCTCTGCCTAGAGGGCAGTCTTAGTCTGGCACCAAAAGGACAGCAGAGTTAGTGCTGGGCAAGCCTCAGTGGGGAGCATGTTCTGAGTTAGGGGGTTAACACCGAGAAGGCCCTGTTCCCCCTTTTTGTGGAGCAGTTGCATTCCGAGGAAGGTTCTGGATACTGTATAGCGTTTGGGTAGACTGAATTTGGGAGAGTATTGAAGTCCCAAGCCATGTAGAGCTTATAAAAGTCAAACCCAGCACTTTGCACTGGGCTTGGACTTGTGTCGAAAGCAGGTGCAAGTGCACTGAAACTGGAGCTCTGTACTCTGGCTGCCACGTTTTGCACAAGCTTCTGAACAGTCTTCTGGCCCCACAGAGATTTCATTGCAGTAGTCAAGCTTGAGAATTGCCAGGGTATAGATCTCTGGGCTGCCCCAGTCTAGGTGGGGGTGTAGCTGGGCCACCTGTCAAAGCTGTGCCCCAAGTCCAGCGGAGCCTCAAGTGACCAGGGTGGCTCCAGGAGACCTCCCAAGCCCAAGGAGGGGGTGCACCCCATGGCCTTCGCAGCCCTTCCAGCTTGACTGCTCTGTGATGGTCTACCTGAAGCTTCTCCCTCGGGCTGCCAGGCTGCCGACAGCACCTGCTCTCCGTGTGTTGGCCCTCCTCCAGTCCAGTGTTGCTGATGGCCCCGGTTAGCACATCCACTGGGCCACCTCCAGACGAGGGAAGGGGAGCTGGAGCAGCATGGCATGGATGGGCTCGTGGCAACCCACACCCAGGCTCTGGGCAGTGCTGCCCAGAGGTTTCACACGGCTGAGCCTGGCACCCCCGCCCCCTGAGGCCGAGAGGGAGCCCCCCGGCGGCACCACCTGTGACAGAGCTGCTGCAGCGCAGGCCTTCCCCCTGCCCCGCTCTCTCACGTGAGACGGACACCTCGGTGCACAAGCTCCAAAGCCACGGAGGGATCCAAGAGTGCCGGCAAGCACAGAGAGTTCCAGGACCATCCCCTCTCCCTGCTGACGCAGGCCAAGGCTGCCTCTGGGCCAAAACCGGGCCTGAACCCCCACTGAAATGGGCCCAGGCAGTCAGCCTCATCCCGGAATGCCTGCAGCCGGCTGGCTGCTGCTCGCTCAAGGACCTTGCCTGGGACGGCAAGGTCCGGAGCGCCTAAGACCTTCTGGTCCAGAGAGGGTTTCTCGCGGAGACGCCTCCCCACGGCCTCTTTCAGGCAGGCGGGAACACTCCCTCCTCAGCGAGGCCTCACCGCTCCCTGGCCCAGCTGCCTGCTCCCTCCCAGCACTTGGAAGGCCGGGGTCCAGCACCGCTGTGGCTGCACCACACTGGCCGAGCGCTGCACCAGCGTCCTCGGGCTGAGCCTGACCCGGCTGTGCTCCCACCCGCCAGACCGTCCAGCCGCTGAAACAGCACCAGAGTCCTGCCAGCCGTGACTGCAGCGCTCCTGGGTGGTCCTCCCTAGCCGAGTGCGTGGCTGGCGTCTCCCTGGAGATGGGGCAGGCCGCCAGCTGGGAACAGCAACCCATGGCAAGTGGCCTTCCCTTGAGTCCCCCCCGTCAGACCAGGGGCACTTCCTTGCCTTCCAGCCTGCTCTGCCCCGAACTGCCGTCCCCAGCTTAAAAAGAGCGCAGGAGTCCTTCGGCGAAGATGCTGGTTGTGGGGCGAGTCAGGCCAGCCTTGTTTTTGGTCCTCTCCAGGATGCCTGGCAAAGAGAACAGCTAAAGCAGCTGTTCGCATTAATGTTGTTTATTCCACTTCTAATCCCCACAGAGCTGAAGCTCTCTGGGCAGTCAAGAGTTAAAACCATGAAACTACAGCACAGTAAAATGCAAGAGAAAAATGTGAAATTGCAGTATGAAATAAAAATGAAAATGGGATGGGATGGGATGCAGCAGCACTACGGAGATTTAAAATCCAGGGCTGAATCCTGCCAAACCTGGGAAGCTAAGCAGGACTGGTCTTAGTCCTTGGACTAGTCTGTAGCCCAGCAGCTGAGTTGCTGCTTTGCACAGAGGACCCAGTTCCGTCTCAGGCAGTGTCTCCTGATGAGGAGGCTCTGCCCTGAAATGCTGGAGAGCTGCTCCTGGTCCCATGTTCCCCTGCGCCTTTCTGGCGGTGCATTTGCGCCCCTGGAAGTAAGGATGCTCGGGGTCCTTGGCTGCAGGTCTCTGCCGGAGCAAGGTGCTCTCGGGCAAGCCGACTTCCTGGGGCGGGAGAGAACTGAAATCGCCTGCCCTTCTGCTGCACCCCTCCAGCTGCCTCGTCAAGGTGACCGGTGAGCTCACCATGTCCTTCCCAGCGGGGATCATTCGGGTCTTCAGCAGTGGCCCAGCACCGCCTGTCTTGAGTTTCCGCCTCCTCCGCACGGCATTCATCGAGCAGTTCCTTCCCAACGCAGACCTCCTGTATAGGTACTTGGGATGTGGCGGGTGGTTGAAATCATGGGAAATGAAGGCAAGGGTGCTGTGATTTGGCTTCCTGCGACAGCAGGGGGTTGAACCCAGGGGCCTTCACGGCCCCTTCCAACTAACTATCCAGCTTCAGAGAGGTCCCCTCTCCTGGGTTTATTCCGCCTGGCCAGCAACGGATGACAGCCTGGGAAGGCACAGCAGGCCTTCGGATGCTTCAGGGGGCAGCACGGGGACCACTGCGCCGGTCCCCACAGGCGCTGCATCCCTGCCATGCTCAGGCCTCAAAGGGGCAGAGAGGGTTGGCTGCAAGCAGCTCCTTGGCATCCACTTTCCTGGCGCCGTGACGCTTGCACCCGCCTCAGCAAGCCACTAGCTCTCGGCCTGTTTGTGAACCTTCCCATTAATATTGTGCTTTCTGTGCGACGCATTTCAAGCATCCCAAGACAGGCATCCGAGACGGATCCTCCGGGCTGCTTGCCGTTAGAAGGACGCACAGTTCTGCCGCCTCATCACACGGCGTGAAAGCCGCTTTGGCACACCCTGCGGAGAAAGCAGCCCATGGAGTGAAATGCTGGGCACGGGCAGGGCAAGGTGTGGGGGGTGGGGGGCTCCCTGGTCCAGGCGGGAGATGCCCCACAGCTGTCAGGAGTGGGGCTTGCCTCCTTGGGCGGCTCCCTGGCTTCCTCTCCCCTCTCTTCCCAACCTTTAAGCGATGCATCGCAGAGCGACCCTGCCCGCAAGGACTTCTGGCTCAACATGGCCGCCCTCACCACGCAGCTGCAGAAGCAAGCCGAGCAGGCCGTGGCCGCCCCGTATTACAACGTGACCCTGCTCAAGTACCAGGTAGGGGGTGCAGGGCGGGCCCCCCAGGTCTCTGCGCACCTGGCCATGTCGCCCTTCCGCCCTTGCTGCAGCCTGAGAGGCTCTGGGCAGAGCGGCAGCACGCCTGGCCCAAGGGCCTTGTGACGTTTGTGGCTCAGCCAGGCAGGAACTGGCTGCGCACTCGCCTGACCTGCCCAGCCTGGGCCGCCAGCGGACTTTGAACTGCATCTTCCAGCATCCCCAGGCCGCAGCCCTTGCTGGGGCCTGGGCTGCAACTCTCATCACCCTCGGGGCTGCTCTGCTAGTTGGGAGATGTAGTCTAAGCACACTAGGAGCCTTGGGAAAGCTGCTACCCTGGTGGGGGTGCCCAGTCGTGATTAAGCAAAGAAAATGGTCGCTTGAATTGAGACCTCTGTTCCTCGGATCAGAGAGGCTGCCTGTGTTACGTCGGCCTCCCCTCATTTTCATAATTCACTGGAGGGTTTTGTGATGCGGCCTTTGCAATAGCTTGCAGGTCCTTTGAAGAAGCAAAGCTTGCATGGGGCAAATGTGCCCAGGGATGCATTTCACCCCCTGACCGTTTGCCTGTGTCTCCCCCCCCCCCCCCCCCCCCCCCCCCACCCCCCACCCCCGCCCGCCCCTCAGTGGCCCCCCCCAACCCCAACACCGGGGACCGGGGG